TTGATTGGTTAATTATCACGGGCAATCACGGGTAGATCGACAAAAATTAACCAATCATATGAATGTCTTCCTATGAGGTAGGGAGTGTGGCACGGCAAAAAAATTTGGCATGCTAGCATGCCAATGGCACGCCATAATCCAAAACCCTAGACAATTCCATTATTCCGAAATAGACATACGTATATAGATTATATATATGTGGCATGTTTTCTTTTAAGATATGCCCTATGACCACTGTGCCACACACCCTACATTGGGGTTTAGGTTTCTTTCGAATTAAATTTATTTCGAAGTCAGTGGTTATAAATCTTATTTATATAATAACAATAGTAATTAACACTTTTTATGATCGTGAATTTTCTTTCGAGACTTGATATCTTTTCATATACATTTTAAATGTTTTATTTTTCTGATCGACTATTACATATTAAAAACATTTAGAATTTTAGAAGTATTAATAGAAGAATATTCTAATAGTACTCATAAATATATAGCTAATTCACGAAAAAGAAATCGATGAACTGTAATTAAAAGGGTATTAACTGATTGGCCGGAGTGGGTCAATTGATTCAAAATTTAGCTACATAATAATTTAATGAACGATATATCTCTATTTTAAAAAAAGTAATCAGTTGGAGGGTGGGTAATCAGCTGAACGTTAATTTTTATGAGATTTTTAATTTTTAGAACTTAATCAGTATCTGTGTAATTATTATTTAAGGGGTCTTTACTGCTGATTAATAGTTTTTATTAGATCTGGAGACTAGTAAAAAGGCCCAATTTGCAAAATCCGACGATATGCAATTGAATTAGATCGATATCTTACTATTCAAGTTCTCTTGTGTACAGTACGTACGATCGAATTATTCAAAGATTTGTGATGCGTTTGTTTGAGTATTTAAGATGACGATAAATTAGCGATAATTAGTGTTCCAAATCGTTAGTTGAAAAATCAACTAACTGACAACTTTCCAACTAATCGATTTTAAAAAAATATATAAATTCGATTTATTATCAACTGGTTCGATTACGATTAATTGCTAGTTATCAACTAGTTGCCAACCAACTATAACTTATATAATCAGCTAAGCAATTACTACTAGCAATCGTAGTAATTACATAATATCATAATTTTATAACTTGGTATCTATCTGCACGCGCGTTTACTTTTTAATTTGCATTTAATGTAACGGTAATATAAAAACAACCAAACAACTAGTCGATTAGTTCAATCACGTGATACGAGTAATTGAATTGATTAGTCAACTAATCGACTGGCAAAATTTTTACCAACTCGAAACACTATCAGTGACGAAACCTATAGGTTTCGTCTAACAACTCTATTATCCACGTACAAATTGAAGAATATATTCGTAATTTATATAAAATCATCATAAATAACAAGATTTCCGCTTCGAAACGTGGTTTTTTTTTTATTTTTATTTATTTTTTTTTTATATTTTTTTTTTTATGATTGAAATGTGGTATAAAAAGTGAACATACTCACTTATTATCACATAAAATTTAAACAAATAAATCTAACCGCCCACCAGGGACCAGATAATTTTTATAATGACAAGGATTTGTATATCGATATTGAATGAAATATTATTCGTTTTCGCTCTTGATCTATAAAGCAACAAAAAAAAAAAAAAAAGAATCAGAAAAGTAATGAACTTATCGTTACAGCTTTATAATGAATTCAATTCAAAATAAGGTAATTCTATAGAAACTTTCAAATGAAAGAACCCGAAAAATGTCCACTAAAAGGATGATTTATACTAAAGGAATGTAAATATATATATCCCGTGTGTATATTAAAATAAACTATAGTCCGACAGTTTTATATGTACAGAGAAATAAAGAAAAAAATGTCATCGAAAAAAAAAAGCAATAACTTCAAAAATTTTAGCTCAAGTAAGTTCGTCATTTAATTGTATTTCCCTTGTTTCATAATTCCATAAGCTTTTACTGCCATAGCTTCCTCTTTTACTTGCATCATGTAAATAATTCTCCTATTATTTGCTAAATCTATATTATTCAAAGTAATAGCCACACCAGCTCTACCAACTCGTTCTACACCATCTTCTCGAACAATTGCATCAACCAATTTTTTATTTTGTTTCTCACTATTTATTACTAATTTCTTTCTTTGTGATGGTGATTCAATTTCTAATTTCATATTTCCCCAACCAAGATTTGTCCATATTCCATGATCATTTTGTAAAAATAATTTACATCTACATTCCATTGCTAATCTTATAGATTTTTCAATTTCACGACCATCATTATTTTGTTGTAATGATTGTAATGAAGAAGATCTTGATATTAATAATCCTGGTGGTGGAGTTAATAAATTATTATTAGGATGTTCTAATGGTAAATGTTTAACTTTATTTAAATTTGCAAAAAATCTATCAGTTTCTTCAGGTGTTGGCATTGAAATTCGATAAAATTCTTTGTTTAATCCCATTTCACATGAAATACTAATAGTAGTTGGTGAATTTCTATCTATTGTAGTATTTGGATGAATCCATGCGTTAAGTATCATACGATGATCCTTTTGTAATAAAATTGCCCAACATCCTTTATTCATAGTTGTTACTCTTACTTCTATTATACATAGATCTTTTGTTGTTAAAGGTTTCCAATTACCATTAATCCAATAAAATATTTGACAGGGTGGTGATTCATAAATTTTTTCTCTCATTACCGCAATACTAGCGACCGAATATAAAGAACTTATAGAATTAGAACGTTTAAGAGATGATAATGATTGTGATCGAGATATAGAATTAGAAGATGAAAGATCACTTATTCGATCTTGTATTTGATTATTATTATTATTAAAAGGTTGATAATTAATTTCATTGCTGGATTTACGTGGAGTATCAAGAGTTTGTGAACGTCCATTTAATGGTCCAAGGTACTGATTCGGTCTTGATGGTAATCCTACTTTCCTTGGACTAGTAGGTGATAGTCCCGAGTTTGTAGGTGAAATTCTCAAGTTTGTAGGTGAAAGTCTCGAGCTTGAAGGTGACCTTGATAGACTTCCTGAGCTATTAGGTGTTAACACACCTGTATTTGGAGAAGCAGATCGCGTAAGTGGACTACTACCTGCTGAATTCAAATTTCTTACATCTGTATTGACATGTGGCCTCACAGCACCTACGAATAGTCATTGTGATTATTTGTGAATATTTGTGAATATGATGCTGGTGATTTTTTATAAATTTTTACATTTTTGATATAAATAACATACCAGCTGAGGCAAACTTTATCGCTTTAGAGATTTCATTGAACCAAGTGTCTTTGGAGTTATCTGATTGAGGAAAAATGATCAAAGTCTCATCCCTCATTATAGTTAATTCCAGCATAGCTGTAAAATAATAATAATAATAATAATTCGAACTATTAATGAATTGTCTAAATACATAAAAATAATACAGAATTGTTATAATAGTTATATATGTTTAAATATTATTTTAAAAAGAAAGCTAACCTCCTTCCTCATAGCTTATATCTCTTATTGATAAATTTTTTCCGCTCAACGGTTGATACATTAACCAAAATTTAAAATTATTTTGGTTTTTTGAATCAATTTTTTGACAAATCAACAGGAGATCGGTTAACAAGAACAAATGTGCTCGTACATGAAATCTTTCATCACTATCGTATTCTGGAACTTCGATAACGAAATCATCATTGAGAACTATTTCTCGTTTGAAAGGTAAACTGGGCGGTTGTAGGACCAAATTTACTTTCTTTATATAAAAATGTATATATATTGAGTAAATCGCATATTAAAAAAAAATTTTTTTTAGTAAATAAATTGAACATACTCTAGGTTTTTTAGTACGTATATCGAAAGTTTTTGAAGTATCAATGAGGTGTTGTAAGTCTAATATATTCCAATTAGACTTAGGATCTTCAGAAACTTCAGGAAAGTAACCTGAAATTGAAGTTTCGTAATCTCGTATTGGAGAAATTGGAGAGTGGAGTCTTTGTGGCATAGGTGAATGAATATGCTCTTGTTGAAGTCGTTCGAGTAAGGGCGAATGGAGTTCAGGATCCTGAACCGGAGAATTTTTTGAATGAATATGTTCTTGTTGAAGTCGTTCGAGTAAGGGCGAATGGAATTCAAAATCCTGCGCCAGAGAATTATTTGAATAAAAAACTTGATCTTTGATAGAAGTTACAGTGTGTTCTTCTACTGAAGGTGAAGGTGCATTAGAATACAATTTTTGGGAATTATTTATCGGATCTTTGATAGAAGTTACAATACGTTCTTCTACTGAAGGTGAAGGTGAAGGTACAGTGGGATATAACTTTTGGGTATTATTTATCGGATTTTTCAAATATGATTCTTTAACTTGCTTTTCTATATTAATAATTTGATCAAGCCGTTCGTTTGCAGAAGCTAAAATGGTATGATCGGAACGACCAGGTTCCGTGCTTTTAAATAATCGCTTAAAAGAAAAAAATTTTTTTTTTATTTAATTCGTGTTTAAAGCTTTGTTTTATTTATAAAAAAAGGAGATTGCTTACCATATACAATTTTTTATAATAATGGAGCCTTTTAATCGGTATGTCAAAAAAGTAATCTAACGATACCGGCTGATTATTTTCGGCAGAAATATCCTAAAATCCGATACAACAATAGAAATCAGTATTCATACGAAAAATACCTAAAAATAATAATAATAATAATAATAATAATAATAATAGTAGTAGTAGTAGTAATAAAATAATAATAAATAATAATTACATTTAAAGTCTGCTGTAAAACTAAATTTTCTTCAATATCTTGTCTTCTATCAAAACCTTGTCGATACTTTTGACAATAATTTTTGTATGGCTCTTCCATTTCATCCACCTATTTATTTGAATAAAAAAAGATTTACATTTGACAAAAATTATTTCATATACTAAAAATAGAATTTTTTTTTTTTTTACCCAGGCCATTAAAGCATCACCAAGTTCTTCGGCAGATTGAGGTGATGAACCAAACCTTGCCAATTTCTGTTAAAATAAAATGTAAATCAATAGTTAATTATGAAATATTATGAAATAAAAAGTTATTCAAATTACTATTGGATACTAATTAAATTACCGAGTAAAAATGTTTATTCCGTTTATAAATTTCCTCAATAGCACGAAACAGTATGTCCAACTCAGGAGGAGGAAGATCCTCGGAACTCCAACAAGATGTAACTCTCTGATTAAACATAAAAAGGTTTTTTTTTTTCATAGGGAAAAAAAAAAAATGTTTTACAAGAAATCAAAGAATTAACACTAACCCTTAGCAAACATTTCAAATCACCTATATATTTCTTTTCAGTCTCTACTAAATCAATCAAGGGATTGGCCCTTTTTCTGTCCGACGATTTTTGCCGATATTGAGAATTCATGGATTATGAAACTAAAAAGAAGTATATTCAGTGATAAAAAAAAAAAATAAAAGGGAATAGTCAAATCATAAGACAATAATAGTAAGATTTTTAAATATCGTGGAAAAAAGACTAAGTTTTGTGAAAATCGTGAGGGTGAAATTTAGGAGAAAATCAAGGTTCGTTATATATAACGAAAATTCAAAAAAAAACAAAAGATTGTAAAAAAATTGTAAATAAAATTTTAGGAAACCGATAAGTCGCAGACTTTTTTGAAGTGAGAAAGATGAATATCGTCGGTTGAATAGTATTCTTTAACGGAAACTATCGGTATAAATTAATGCAAGAAATATATTACAGTGCTTACTTCCATATAATATCTTATTGTAAGATTATGCAGAATATGCAAGCCCCGCATTTTCATAACATACAGGAACAACGGTAATTGGATACCTTTTAAGGTTAAAACCGACAAATGGAAATGATTATTAATAAGTAAAATTTCCTTGTATTACTTTTTGCTTCAGATCGATACATTTGGAAATCGATCAATCTTTAAAATGGAACTAGTTTTTGCCGAATAGTAAAGTGGCCCCATTTTTAACCGTTAACGTTAACATTTAAAAGCATTATTTCTAAACGTGTTTTAAGACCATTGTATGGTTGAATCTTTTTACGTATTTTTGTAAAAATGCGGAAAATTTAAAATTACAATAAACTTATTTTTTTGATGAAATACTCAATCACAACTGTATTAAAATGAATATCTTAAAAAGTAAAATGTATATAAAATAAACATCGTCATGTACTACTTGATCAAACTCGTGTTGATATTATCTTCCATTTTAGAAACTAATATTATTGTTACCTTGCCCTCCCTTTTCTTGTGCGAACAAAAAGTTTCTCTAGTAATAAAAAAACGAAACGGATAAAATATTAAATATATCTTTGATTTATCCTGTCGACCGCAAGTACAACACTCCTATATATTAAAAAGCTGGAAGCAAAAAATAAAGGTAAGAATAAACATTTAACATGCTTATATATAATATTTACAATTCATATAAACGTATGTACGTACGTACGATCGTACAAAGCAGCTTAAATGTTATCGGTTATGCAAGTAACATCTAACATCTTCAAGTTAATATAATGTGCGTGCGTACGCACATACATACGTAGAGATATCTAGTTCTTCAATATTAATACTTTGTGACCACGAATGAAGGTTATGCACATGGTTTTTTTTAACCAATCAAAGGTAACAAGTAGAAAATTGCATTTCATGTGCAGATACACTTGACAATACGTTACCAGTTTAAAATTTTCTAAAGATGATTTGATATTAAAATTAAAGCTCTTACAGGGTTACTGTTGGACTAAAAAATAAAAAACAGAAAATACACTTTAAAAAATTAATGAAACCAGATATCCATATTAATTCGGTTGTTATTTTTTATTAGATGACGTGATTATGGTACGTATGTACAAGAATCCTAACGTTAGTCTTAACGGTTAATATCAGAAATTATCAGAAAATGTATTCAAAGCGTGAAACCAATAACTATTCGTGCAACCGTTAAATAATCAATTAACTACCGTACAAATTGTACACATTGTAGATACTTGCATTAACTACTATTCCAAATAAAGTAATCTTTTAAGTCACGAGAAAATTATCAATTAAAACAGGAATTATTATACGTACGTATGTACTAATAATCTTGTTGATCTCGATGATCCCAAGCATTTTTAATGCTTTTTAATGCTTTGCGTCTGTCAAGAAAATTTTAATGTTGCTCGATGAAACCTACATGGTAGTCACGTAACAAATAGAAAAGTATTTATGAAGCGGCTAAAATCTTTTTAGGCTACAGTATATAAAATCAATATTAGTGTTGATACCTCTACATTTTTTTTTTTTTTTTAAAAAAAAACGAATTCCTTTTATTCATTACTGGTCCCTCCAAATAAACAAAAACAATTTTATCTTAAAAATCTTTATGCGATAAAGAAGCCTTATTATATGCGCTTGCCAACATTCGTTTCCTTTTATTTAATTGCATACATATAATTGACTTTCATTTTTCATATATCTTTAAAAAAAAAAAAAAACTTTTAATTCGAACCAATTTCTTTTTTTGTAATTTTACATACCTTATTATTTTTTTAATAATGGAATCCATTACATCAAATCCACAAACAGAACAAACAGTCGATTCTTCTCAACTAGTTCGTCGTCGAAAAATATTTGGCACATGTAAAGGTTGTTCTCAACCAAACACAAATTTTAATGAATGTGATGCGTGCGAAGCTTGGGTGAAACAACAACAAACAAAATTATTGGAACTACAAAACGAAATAGATGATCGTAAGAATCGTATAAATCAACAGACTTGTAATAATTGTGATCAACCAAAACATGTTCACCATCATATTGCTGCTTGCGGTGAATGTGGCTATCCGGAAATGAAGATTGAAGATTTGTATGAATTTGCTATCTGTAAAGATGATGATGATAGTGATGAAGAAGAGGATGGTTGTGGAATCAAAATATCTGATTTGTCGTGTCCTAGATGCGATTCATGTTTGCAAGGTTTTCTGCAATGTCCTGATTATACCGAAGTGGTCGAGAGAATAAGGTTGGAATTGAATGAAATTAAATATAATGATCCGGATTATAAAAAATTAGTAGAAATTAAGGAGGTACTTATTACATTACTTGCTTATATCATCTATTTTAGTAATCGATATTTCTGTTTTACATTTCTAATTTTTAATTTCTTTTTCAGCGATATGATAACCTCGTTCAACAACAACAGGATGAGGAAGATCAGTGGGTTACTGACGAAGATGATGATGAACTTGATGATTATAATGAAATATATTATGGAAAATCGTTCGTTGAAAAGAGTCCAAATGTGGATCGAAATATTAAAATGTCACAAATTGGTTTAAATTCTTTATTACGTTCTTCTGCCATGAAAGTTCAATTTTAGATATTTTATTATAATTGACTACTGTCTTTTTTTTGTTTGTTTTTTTTTTCATGATGTGTATATTTATTTATTCATTTATTTGATTAGATCATTAACTTACTAATTATGTTTAATATGAGTTTAGTAAGTCTTATTAGTATAATACTTATTATGTATTCCATAATGAAGATTATTGTAACTTTTGTGTAAAATTAATCATTGTTAAAAAAAATTGGGTTAACAGTGTCATTGGATATAAATAATGCGAATAATAATGTAAAATTTTAAAACCGTCATAATTGATGTTTTTTAATCTCCAGGATATATAACGTCGATGTATTTTCGCTGATGGAACCTGCTAACTATTTGAATTTGATTGGTTATTATAATACATGTCTTTCGATTTTAATTCGTTGAAGACTAGTGATACGTGGCAAAACCTCTGGCCGGGTGGGGAACAATAAGGGAACAGACTAAGAAAACCACCGTTCAACATTTTCTAACTTCTTTTGAGATTTTAAGTTCTAATTAAAGTTTGGTTCTATTTATATATATACAATTTTATCAGATATCAAATTAATGAAATATTTTAATTTGAAAATCAATTATTCGTGGAGGTCTGATCCGGCGAATGATATATCCGAAGAATCTAAATACATGTATGTATATAAATCGTTTCATTGAATGAATATCTGGATATATCATTCTTCAATTAAAATTCAATGAATATTCGGTGATAAAATATCATCTGACGTGGACTGGATTTTTATCTTTGACCGAATCAGATTTCTAATTTGCTCAAATGAAATAACCAATCAGAAGACCGCAATTTTGAATCCAAGCATGTGACTTTGCTTGTACAATCAAATTGAATTTTATGTAACACAAACATTATCTCAAAATTCAAAGCCCCTCTTGAATGGCGATTTCCTAATTAATTCCTGATAAAAAAAAAAAACTTTTGAATCGATAAGTTACTGGAATTGAAATTTATTGATTCGAACATCTCAGAAATATGAAATAATGAAATAACAGATTACAGAAGGTATGGGGTTATGGGGTTAGAGTGGACCAGAACATGCGTGCATATATTGATATGTGCATATTGATCATGTGTACATATGAGTCAAAAGAAAACCTATTATTAGACTTTCAATTATATTAGTCGTCCATGGAAATTCATCATTGTGATAGATTTTCCGTAGATGGTTAAAATATAATTGAAAGTCCGATGACAGGTTTACTTTTAACGGCACTCATATGTATATCAAATATACGAATTTTATTAACATTTTTACAGGAGGATCCTCAAATTTCCGGGTTGGAATGGCCGGAATCCATCGGAATTAGGGTTAGCTATACTAGTTAGCGTGCTAAGTAAAATTATCAGCTGGGCACTTTTTACTTAATGAACGATCATGGTTTCATTAGTAAAAAAGTGATCTTGGGCAAAATTGATCAATTCAGACCCATCCGATCAGGGTTCCTATGTTTCCGACCTGGAATTTTGGGGATATCCCTATGAGTTGAGAGTTGGCGGCAGAATTACTGAATTACGGCATTACGGCATTACGGCATTCTACCTGATCTGTGATGGGACTTTAGAGGTTTGATTAAATCATTATATCTCGTGATCTAGTAATCCAATTTAGATGAGGTTGGTACCATTCGAATCTTCCCATCAAGTGAATTCGAATGACACCAAACTCATCCAAATCGGATTACCAGATCACGAGATATCATGATTTAATCAATTTATTTTAATTGTCATTTTGTACAGATTTGAATGTCATTTTGTACGAAATTGAATGCCATTTTGTACGAAATTGAATGTCAATTTGTATGAAATTGAATGTTATTTTGTACGAAATTGATGTCAAAATGGATATCAATTAATAATTTGATTATTGCTAATAATTTATATGTAAAAACTGCATATAGATGTAAATCATAATAAAATCAAAAGTCCAAAATTTCATAAATTATTAAATAGAGAATGCATATTATTAAGTAGTTTTTAGTTAATTGATTAACAATAATTAT